TTACTCCAGTATCTTTATGGCTCTCTAGATTCAATTTAAAGATCTAATACACAGGAAAGCTGTCTGGTGGTAAACGGAAAGAGTGTGGAGTAATTATGTAAGTGTTAATTGGATTAGGTCCATCAAGGCATGAGTAGCACACCTTTGGGAGAGAGTAAGATGTGTAATGGATTAAGAACATGTCTCACACCAGTTCCGTCTATGTATAGAACCACCGGGCACTAATTTAGCACACGCAGTCAAAATTGCCAGCTCAATCCAATTTTGTAGGTTCTATTTTTTCGAGACGCTCACATCTGGATACACTTACACTAAAATTACATGAAATTTTGGACTGTGAAACAGTACGCAAAGTGCATGTTATATACTGTATGTAAAACTGAAGAATATGTGCCCGTAAATGAGCAAATACACATAAAATATACCTTGTCCATCATGATCTGCACTGATACTGTGTACTGCATACAGTGACAAACATGCATAGGCCTCTTTATCAGACAAAATAAAGCTGAAGTATAAAATAATAATCAAGCTACCTTGTATAGTATATATGTGTGTCAAATTATTTCAAACAAACCTTATTTATACCAGCATGATCAAGCTCCTCAAATCGCAGCTGTTTTTGTAGGACTTGTTCATTAAAATTTCAAAATCTGATAGCTTTATTTTCTTGCCATTCGAAACTACATTTATTTTCAGCAAAGTTGGATAAGGTCCAGGTTCATGTTCAAGCTATTCAGTGTTTGACTTGTAACTGTAAAACCAGCATAAGGGCTGGAAAATATTCAAAATCAAAATAAAATTTGTAGTTTGTCATTGTGATAGATGAAACAATGAGTAAAACACAAATAACAGAGAGAGGATTAGAGAAAGCAAGCCATCTATGCAGTCTATGAAAAGCAAGGATGAATTGATGATTAATAAATAGCACACAAAAAGCTTTTCTCCCTGCAATAATGTACAATAAAAATTAGGTCAAATATTAATACGTTTCAGGCAAAGTAATTACAATGATAAATCTTTCTTTGATCATAACAGCACACATGACATCTACCAGTATATCATAACACTGATCACATTATAGCAAAAATTGATTATATGCAGTAAGAAAAAAAAAACTCAAGTTATTCTTGTTCAACATCTACATTTTTATTAAAAGTGAAAAATTTAGTTATTATCTTGCTTTATCCAATGTTAACACACCATCTGCCTGATGTTTCATTCATTTTTTCTACATCATTTAATGGACAATAAATAAGTAATGCCATTACTAGCAACATATAAAGTTTTTTTCCGTAACTGCGTGTAATTCACTAAATCATTGTAGCCCCAAACTGTTAATACTATCAAAAACATTATACAGCCTGCTTTCAAAGTTATAACTCTCTAATGCATTTCTTTATCTGATGGTGATTTCCCAAGTACAAAATGCATCCAAATAAAAATCAATGCATTAAGTTAATGACTAAGCGAACAAAGTTGCATTTTCTATTTTTTTTTTTTTTTTTTTTACCAGTCTGCCTTCAAATATTTTATCCGAATTGTCCCTACAGCCTCAGAAAACTTCAGTCCAAAAACAGTCTGAAGATGTAATTGACAGCTAAAAACAAAAGAAAGCAACCACTAAAATTTTCACTAACCCAATCAGACTAGCAGTGCACATTTCAAAATTGTAATTTTTCACTGCCTTACATCAAATCCACTACTTCAGACCACTGTGGTCACTGTTGCTGACCGCTCTACACTCACTTACTTGCACAAAGAGGTGCAGTCAGCCCAACAGACCAGCCACCTTCTCTGCTCTCCAGTCTAACGCACAGGGAACACTAGCCAAGTCAAAACAACCACCAGCTCCCAACTTACAACCTGTGCAGCAAGAGGATAACAGAAATACTACCTGGAAAAATGCCTGGAATGCTTTTAATTTTCTAAGTGATTTATCTGGTAGGTTTGGTCGAAAATATCGAACCAGATGGGTTCAGTAGTGGCTAGGGACAAGGGCAGGGAGGGAAGAATCCCCAGAGGGTATGATTTTTGTGTGTAGTATGGTGATAGACCATGTGAACATTTTTGTTCAGTAGGAATTATGTGCGTAATTTTGCTGATAATCATCAACTGCATAATCTCTTCAGCCCAGGGGAATTTCTTAGTGCTTTATTCTATGGAATACCCAAATTGGGAAAATCCAGCAAAGAGGGCACTTTCAAAAGCCATTTTTCTAATAATTTTTTTCAAGTTAATTTTACAGCTGTCAGATATTTCAGGGAATTATCTCCTGAATCTTCAATCAATCCCAATTTGTGATCAAAATACATAATTCTGGATAAAAAAATATATATTTCATGCCAAATTCAATCATTCGTCATAATCTTACAAAAAATACCAAGCAATAAATGCTGTGTTTGTATTCACAAATGGTCATAATAATAGAAAAAAATGAGAAAAGTCATTAGTACCTTCTACTAGTGAACTGTCATACAAAATACACGTTATGAAATCTAACAGATATGAATGGTTTATATCTGTATCAATTTCATCTCCAGTTATTAAAAAAATAAAATTTTACAGAATATACTGTAAACAAACCAAATTAATCTTATCTCTGAGGAAAACCCCTTCAATACATCAAACAGTAGTAAAGTGCACCAAGTTGGACGGAGACAGGCCAGCAACATTCTCTCCCCAGGCATTATCCAGGTAAACTATTTTAAATGGGACATGTAATTGATTGCAGAGAACTCTTATTACAGCAGCCTGGCACCACTGCATATTAATAATGATTTATCAGCACACCCTGGCTCTAAAAGCCACTTCATTAAGGCTTTCTAAAATATCTTCAGTGCCTGCAGGTTATCATACATCGGATGATATTGCCCCTGTATGTGTGTGCGTATGTACATGCGTGCTCCTTAATGTGTGCACATGCATATGGAATTTTTTTGCGAGTGAAGACAGTGCAGTTAGAGGACTCCTACTATCTGGTAGTTAGCTGAATTGGTGAAAACAGTGACATGTTGATTATCATTTAGTTACTTGAGTTCCAAATGCAATGTCCACCTATGAATCACCTTACCAAACCCAAAGATAATTTACACCTAATAAGAATATCAAACTTCTTATAACTTCATACTTGAATCAACATTGATACTGAGTAATACCATTAAAATCATCCTTATTTGTTGATTCAAAAAGATCCAGGTATCCAGGTATTACTTTGATAATGTAATCTGCTTATTTCAACCCATTCTAATATCCATCTTTAACCATAGACTGTCGTCAGATATTTTCATGTAAGAAATGCACAGTAGATGGTCAACAAAGTTAGTTTCAAAGGAAATGTTTCACTCTGTCCAATAATTTTTAATAGAAAGGGTCAAAATCATTCCATTAACCCTAAAATGGTTTAAAATTTTGTAGTCTCTGAACAAAAAAAAAAAATGCTGACAGGGGGTGAATGGAGATAAAGCATTTTCCAGGAATGCCTCAAATATTTACACCAAGTAAACAATTTCCACAATCTATAAATCTATTCTTCAAAGAAAAAAAAATCTAAAATACCAAACAAACTCAACTTCATATGCCATGCACAAGGTCATGTAATACAAATGGATGTTATTTTAAAGATAAACTTCCTGGAATTCCCTAGATAGATAGTTCACCCCTACTAAATATCTCCTATGGTTTGTAAATCTAATAAATTCCTGGAGTTAAAAGAGCCACAAAAAGATAAGGTATCCACCTTTCATGCACCGCAGGTAATTACTTTGAGAAGAGGCTTAACATATCACTCTGAAGTGCCGTTCACACAATCGACTTTTAAAGTGTATGCTCCATGAGCTCTCTCCCTGTCCTAAACCAGACAGTGACTAAATTCATTCAGGCTCTGCTGTGTGAAAACTGTTAAGTTAAAAGCAATCACTGTGTATAACTACATGCTGATATAATGAACATGCCATTTCCACTTTATAGTATGTATACTTGTGAGAGTTTTTAGCTCTCTGACTCAAAGGTGCTCAGTAAACAACAATGGATTAATTCTTACCAGTATTGGCAATTCATTATTGTAAAAGGTGAAAAATTGAAAATCTGCATTGCTGGTATACCCACATCTAAAACAAATGGTAAATGTCAAACACACCACCAAATTTTGTATTTAAAATACAACATACTTTTCTTATATCAAAGCAGTTAAATACCACCCCTTTAATGAATAAAAAATATCTAGCAGACACAGATAGCACATCAAAGGCATTCACACCTGTCTGAGCACATTAATCATATTATCCTAATTCCCTGCAATGGCCGAAGCACACTCCAGGTGAAGTCAACAGAGACAACTGCTCCATTGACTCCAAGGAACAAGTAAACAATTTCCAGAATCTTTAAGGAATTCCAGGTGATAGTAGCTCCAGCACTGGCTATTCCCAGGAGGACTGGGTTACCTGTCAGGTGTACAGGTCATGGTGTTTGATTTGTAACACCTTGTTTTCCCTCAGATGCACACGACTTCTTACTGAATGGCCATATGCTTCTTATTTCCTGGTAATAGGTACACTTAATCACCTTGCAGGATTGCTCTACAGGAGAATACATTCAGATTTTTTTTTTTTTTTGCTTTTTTATTATTTTCTGTTGTTGTTGTGATTAACTCTCCTATTTTTTATAAACAAGTTAATATTTAACATACTTTTTAATCATGGGATTTATTAACCAAGGTAAGTAATATTTCACATTTAGATACCAGCATAACAAGTCGAGAACATTTTGACAAAAGCTCATCTAAATGTCACTGGCTCAAAGTTTTATTTGCTTTAAATTAATAACATTTCAGACGTTGTTGTGCAAAAATTTTAATTTTCACAGTGATTTTTTTTTCACATAAAATGTCAAATGGCACAGAAAAATTGAAAATATCAAAGTAAAGGAATTCTCTTTGTACTACAGACTGGCCTTCCTACAGGTTGGATATCCTTATATCAAAGAAGTGTGTTTGAACTTACCCTTGCCTTTCTCTTCCAGCTACATCTCTGCTGTGGAATCCGATCTCTTCGAGAAGGGGAAGTCGCAATCACGAAAAATGTTGGCATCAAAGCCATGATGAGATCAAATTAGACAAAATGGCAAAAAGTAGGAATGTGATTAAAGAAAATACAGCAAATTCTTCCAAACTTCCAGTTCAGGTTTGAATGACCTTTCCACAAGATTTTTTTTCCTGAAGAAAACTTTGCTTTAATAAATCTTTTGGATAATGTTTGCTTTTGCAGCTGTTTAAGTTAAATTATGTATTATTGTACATTGCAGCAGAACTAAGCTCATGACAAAAGTTCCAATAACCTTGGACATATATAGTTTTTATTAATGTTTTCTTTGAATAAGCATAAATCAGTAAACTGTATTTTATATAGTTACTCATTCCTTTTCACCTGCATGATGTAAATAGTCTTTCCACTGGCAAAAATAATCAAAAACTTATATCTGATACAATATATGTTTTGCAGTTTGCTACTTCTGCTTGTCCAAAATCAAGTCACCTTAGTCTTAGCAATAACAGCTCAACCAAAGATAAAAATACTTTCAACCTCCTGTCCTTTTATCTTCAAAATGCCAATTCCTCAGAATAGAATAAGATTTCATTTCTCTCATAAACATCATGCAAGGATCCAGTAAAAGATGTTTTCTTATTTTTGCCTTTGATAAAAGTTTAAATGTATCAGATTTCCTCTTCTTGAATGAAATCCTCCCAAATTCACATCCTTGAATATTAGTATTGGGACTCTTATCATAGCAGGATTATACTTCACTGGAATTTAAAACACAAATACTTGTTCGGCTTCCACTCACCCAGGCCTCCAACATAAAACACTTAAAGTGAGTCTTAGTTCAACTTTCCCTTTTTATTTCCTTTGAAGATGTATTTATGCATCCAAGGTGGACTAAATTAGTATTCCTCCCCATGTCACTGCAGGTTGACTCCTCACAAACAAAAGACTCATCAGGGACCAAACAAGTACTCATTTGAATTTTACACATCTACTAAAAGGGTCTCCACCACATTTCAGGAAAGTGACACTTTCACCTCTGATGTAACTTTTTATAGCCCTTTTTATTTTGCGTGACTGTTGAATGATGTACAGTGAATCACAGCATGCCAATAGCAAACCTTTCTTTATTCAGTATAATACTACTTATGTGAAGTGGGTGGAGCACTGTTTTCTTTAATTTTTTAAGAAATCTAAAATTATTACTGGCATCTCATCATGAAGAAAAGCTTTAATACAGATGTTTGATACAAAATTGTTGTACCTAGACTAAATACTCTTCAGGAAAAATACAATATTGCATTAATCTACGTATATAAAATGGGAAGAATACAAGACACAAACAGCATATAGCCAATTTATCTTAAGAGAGAAGGCAGAAGGTACACAGCAGCTGGTACATGTAACTAAGGCTGCACTCACAACAGTGGACTAACTAGTCCAAGGGTCCAATATGGTCAACCTGCTTGAATACTTCTCCACGGATTATCTATTCAGTGTCTATGAACAGATTTGACAGCAAGCTTTGTAGTGGGTCACCATATTTGACCCTAGGACTAGTTAGTCCCCTATTCTAAATGGGGCCTAAGTGAACCAGTGCCACTACTTCATAGCTCGGGACAGGGTCACAGTAAGAAAAATATAGACCTCCACTCTCTGTAATGAGATAAGAATCCTTGATATATAGTTCACCAGACAGATAATGCCTTTCTAATAGTTCAAAATTTCAGTGGACTTTGACAATATAACGATGGGCCTGCATACAAAATGACCCCCAGTAATAATATCTGGGTTAGGTTAGGTCTGGGTTAGGACATCTGAAGACCTACCTGATTTACTCAGGACATGTCAACTGGGCATGACAGACATACTACGGGTAGTTTAAGTAAGGTATTTTCCAATTCAAACTTAGAGTTAAAGATCTCCAAATGATCCAATTAATTTAATTAAATTATATGCAGTGATTTAACTGAATGAGGCCCTGTGCTTATTTTTTATCTTCAGCATGCACGTACACTATACAAACAAACAAAACCACACATTTCATGAGGACTGATGAGAATAATGATTCTCTGTTATCTATAGTTAAAATAATGGAGGTAAAATTATCATTGATACATAAGTCAATACATAATAATGTTATCTATCGTTAAAATAATGCAGGTAGTATCATCATTGATACCTTAGTCAATACACAATACTGTTATCTATATATAATAGTAAAATAATGGAGGTGGTATTATCACTGATACATAAGTCAATACACAATATTTGAAGGTATGAGCATTGTAGTTCTATCAAAGTCACATTCATATCACTACAATAGGAAGCCCACCTGTATTGGTTTCATTTGTAACCACATTCTACAACTGAGTACACCCATACACTGGTGGTACGCCTACCATGGAATAACATTTCTAGACTTTGTTTAATGTACAATACCCATTATCTAAGAGATACCAGTATGCACACAATGGAATACATGAACTGCTCTTGTTTGGCTTTTTTCCACAGTAAGTTTAATAGAAAATAATCAAAGGCCAAAAGAGAGAGTGATATGTCATGCCTAGTCCAAAATACTGTACGTGGGACAAATCAAAGTGCAGTACAGTTACAAAACTGCGATCAACCTTCAGTATCAAGGCCTCACTGAAGGTGGCAATTCTCTTGATGACACTCACCTGTATCTAATAAACACAACTGCAGCTCCTGTGATCAGACACTATAGAGTGCCTTAGATGTGGAGTAAAAATGCTAGATAAGTGGTCACTGGTATACTAGATTCAGTGTCTGAGGACACAGATCCCCCCTTGATAATCTTATGTCCATCAAAGAATAATACATCTTCATCTACAAGTATATATTTAGACTTATTTATCTGATATAGTTAGTGCAACTTGCCCAATGACAGCCAGGTGTGAAATTTACCTGTGATAAAGATGATCAATAAACAGACGCCAGCTCTCTATCTTTTTAACTACTTGGGATTTGGTAATGTTCAGCCACTGTGCACAAGGGTTTTAAAATATTTTAAAAACAAATATAATGATTTAAATAATTACTTGTAAGTTGTAAATGTAAAACCTACCTGCAGCTATGTGTCACAAATGCAAAAAGATGTGGGTGGTTCAAGAGCTTCAAGTCTACTAATGCATTAAAGTGTAATGGAACTTTAAGGTAAATATATACTGAACTATTCAAATCCCCTATTCCTTTTCGAATGTTCCAAATCTGAAACTGTTTTTCCACCTCTGTTAAAGGGAGGTGTGGATTTACTCAACCGTGGGACCATATTTTCCACAAATGACAACATATTTCAAAGGGCAAAAATCTACATACCACATCTTGCGTGACATTAACACATTTACCTCTAGCAATGATCCCAATTACTTCACCTTTGTGACAGTAAGTGTGCCATAAGTAGTTCTAACTCCTCTCTCTGACACCCTCATAGATTCCACACCTGATGACACCTGAGTAATAATAAACCTGCCTGCTGCCTTTCCACAAGATAAACAAACTTTTTAAAGAAAGTCTATGTACACATCGAGATGATCAAAGACCTCACACCTGAGTTACCTGCCTGGGGCACCTACTTGACTGGCATATGGCCGGGAGTCTGTTTAACCAACATTGTCGCTAAGAATGAAGAGGTTAATAACACCACAGACAAGAATGACAGGTCAGTCAATGTTTGCATTGGCCACTATGTAATCTTCCAGCATTCTGCCTCACACACCTACAGTGACTATGCTGAGGAATTTGGAGATGTTGGGAGAGGCTGTAGGAGGGGCTGGGAGGGGTTGTGGGGAGACATTTATTTAAGCAACACAGACAGAGCCATCCATACACTGCCTTGGGACTCTACTCAAAATGCATATGTTTGTGTGTGTGCCATTATGCATGTGTACATCTGTGCATGCATCTGTAGAAGGGGCCGGGGGGGGGGGGGGGGCACAGACTTGAGTGGACCATATACTTAATTTTATGTTAATGTTCTTCACAGCTAAGAAAGAACTGTTCATGACACAAGTTGCTGATAAAGAAGACACACTTTCAAACCAAATAACGTACCCTGTACATATCAGCTGCCCTACAGCCATCCTATGCTGCTGAGATGGTCATGCATTTAAGACAGTCAGGGAGTTATAACTTTCACCTTTTCATCACTGGTATGATGCTTTAACCCTACATCCCATTAAATCGTAATCCTTTTCACAGCAGTGAACACTGTCTGCACTACTTTACAGTAAATGCCAAGAGGTGACATCTTTAAGATTCAATAAAGCATAATCTGATACCCAGCAGTGGTCATTAGTTACACTTCCACACTGCCTATCACAAGATATGATACATATTATGTTCTAAGTTGACAATGATTACAAGCCACCCCTATCAATCATTGTAACCCTACCCCATCATTAACTTCTAGTCTCTACCTTGTATGATGAGCAGGTCTTAAATCATCATTACACCCCACCAAGAAGGTCTTAAATCATTATTACACCTAATACCTGGTCTCATACCTACTAATTAACACAGTCAGCAGGTCTTAAATCAATTTTGAACCCTACTTTGACCCCATGCTCCGCAGAACGAGCCCTGAAGAATTTATACCCCATCCCTTATCGCCTACCCTGTACAAGAAGCCCTTCTTAAATCATTACTATTTAACAGCCAATCTCTGGTCTCATGGACAGTAGCATAAACAAGTATTGCACCATTATTTGACATGCTGCTTATAAATATGGGGCAAAACATTGACAAAGTCAGCCTATTATATTTACACAACACCAAGCTAACTGTATGCTTGGGATCATAGCACATGACGAAGCAATCAACTTTATAAACATAACCGTTTGACATTATTCCAATTATGTATCCACAAGACTGAACTGTTCCTAATCTGTCTTAATTGTAGATGAGTCTGATGTAACCAGCTTTAAAACAGACTATACTTTGTTTTGTTTATTAGCAACTCCAAACAAACATGTTACACCTGGTGAGATAACAGGTAAGGCAACAAAGTTCCCCTTAAAGAAACACTGTGATGTCTGGACTCAAGATAAGACTTGTCTTACATTCATTACATTCCAACCACAAAAACACCTTTTAACCAGAGTCAACTACAAGAGAATACACTGTAAAATCCACAGGTTCTAAATAAAAGAATTATAACCTGTCATTAAAAGAATGTGAACTTGTGTAGATGAAATATTTCAATTACCTTACAAGAATTCACTATAATATTCTTTACCAGTTAAGATCACAAGGCACGCAAAAAAAAGTTGCACAATGATATGGGCTGGTGGATGGGCAATAGACATAATACCCTGCTTTTCTGCCATGAAAACAGTTGGGCCACAAGCTATATATACTGTTCAATGCTAATATCACACTGGCACAACATACAGCTATTCATTTGTTTTTAATATGCTACCATCTGCTGAATGCATAAATACCTCCAAAGCATTCAGCGAAATGTGGCAAATGAAAATCTATGTATAATTTCATCAGTCTGATAACACATGCTAAAGCATCTGTTACATGTACAGTACCACATCTTAGACAGGAAAAGAAACCACCATACTAGTACTTGAATTCAAGTTCAACCAGTGCTCAAACACAGATTTATATATTAGACAGATGACATATTGTCACAATCAATCAGATATATATACTTGGAAGTCAGGTAAAATACATCTGCCACCTTGATATTGGAGACAACAACTAAATAAGTGCACTGAGTCTTTGATTTCACTTAATAGTGCTTAAGAATTATTGTTTACGGTTTTGGAATAAAATATGGAAAAATATGTCAACATGGTCATCTTAAACTACTAAATATTGCCAGTTTAGTGGCACTCTAATCAAAAACAACTTTACCTTGGATTGTTAATTCTAGAACATCAGTGTACAGGCTATGTAAATGTAGCTCCACTTTCAATCACTTCTGAACACATGGATAAATGTGTGTACTACACCTATGCACGCCAGTAAGTTCAAACCTCCCACCGCCATTTACACAGCATTTTGAGTACTAAGAAAACAAAGCTGCAAAGGTAGTACTTTTTACTCAAAACAGACAGAACAAATACGGTTCCTTTCTTGGGCAGTGAGCCTTGGACTTGAACAAATATGACTATTGGTTGATCAGTAACTGAATAAGCGTGTAGCTTTTGAGGACTTAAGTATCAGCCTTTTGTTGACCAATTGTGTGTCCATGCAACACTGGACATTGGTTTGCACTCTACTGGACATTCATTTGATGACATAAATACATAATATTGTACGACTTTTTACCTTCTAGGTATAATCTCTGTATAGTAATGGTATAAGATCAAGTACCCAATATAACAGGTATACCTACTAGAAATGAACATTAAGGTTCTTGTAATAAATTGGCGATTTTCCTGAAAAGCAGTTTGCAAATGAAATTTGTTTTATCAAAACAAAACGTTTGTTTTTATGAACAACATTTAATAATTTACCGTAAGTATATTCTTTTATTATAAATATTGTAAAAAATATTATTTCTGCACAAGAAAGGGAAACAAATACAGTGCACCTCCAAAACAAACTAAATATAATTCATATCTTTATATAATAGCAATTTCGACTTTTTATAGCAGAAACAATGTTGAATTTAAATAAACTGAAAACGGACTCCGCTCCAAAACAAATGGAATGGCACATGAAATGTATGGGTCAAAATCACGACTCAACTCCAACTGTATCTTCATCGAGCAGCCAAGATACATGGCAATAATACATAGGACAAGAAAAAGCTGGCAGTGAAACACGAAAATAGATGTTAGTACGGATAATTGAATTAGCATAGAGACAACAGAATGGACACGACTGAATGTCTTTAATTTAACGAGTTGGTAATTTAATTGGGAAATGTATGTGCTTTTTTACACAGTGTGTAAATGTGTTTAATGTTTACCTGATTTTTAAGTTTGCGAGAAATATTTTAACTCACCATGAAACCCTTTAAATCCTGTCACATTGAAAAGGATTCACATTTCCCGGCTGTCACCTGAAAGAACACTTGCTTGTCAACTATACAGTATGGCGGCAGCACTTACTTACTTATCCAAGACAGCCCCAATACAGGGTGCACATAAAACGAATGAGATCGCAACTAACACAATTTTAACCCGGTAATGACTATTTTAGTCACATTTCAAGTCTTCCAAAAATACCATCTCCACATCCAGTCATTTACTTCCAGCATCTTGCTATGTTATGGTTTGAAATAGTCTAATGCAAATTACAGTCATATTCAGTCGTCTTTAAGACAATATAAAATGACCAATCTAATATCTTTAAAATGCATCATAATTTGAACTTATTTCACAGGTTGGCCAGGCAAATCGAGAATCAAATGTAGGCTTCAGAACTTTTCACTATTTATTTTTCAAGGCAATTCTTTTCATGTTGGATTAAGCTATTCTTTAAATTATGTCCAGACATTTTACTAAAACTACCTTCATAATTAATTTCAAGAATATAATCAATCAGTTTCTTATACATTATGGACTCGTCTGGGGTTAAATTGGCACTTTCAAGTCTTTTTTTTTTCGCCATTTAATTTTAAATAACGGAAAATGGACTTAGTTGTATGGTTAAAATTGTCTTACACATCAGTGGTGCATGACCAGGTAACCAGAGACAGCCCTTTTTTTTTTTTTCTTTTTTCATAATTTGAGAAAACTTTGTTTAGATGATAGTAAATCCAAAGCAACCTTCCTACATTTTAAGTGAAAATCAAGTGTTACAGGCTCGGCTCTGTACATAATATTTTCTTACATAATTGTTCCCAATCAATATTTTAACATTAGTATATCATGCAAATATGCAAGGGTAATATACCTGTATAATACTTGACAAAGATATAAGTATATATTTGTTTATTACAAAATGTTTGTAAATACATCAGCAGTGGCCAATATTACAGCTACTTTGTTCTCTCTACTCTAGCATACAAAGGTTAAGACAAATCTAAGCAACATCATTACCATTTCCTAAATACATAAATTTGATCAAGACTCAATTTCATTGTTTTGGAAATATGAGGCAAATTATAACATGATTTATGAATAAACTTAAGAACTCTCATCAAAATATACAACCTAACAGGCAATTGTTTATCATCCAATTCTTGGATAATCCCATTTTTCAACTGGTTTTGGAATACCCAGTAAAATGGGCATATATCCCTATGAAAGGAACCCAGAAGGAAACCCTTAATCAACTACTGAGCATCACATGCAGGTATGATTTACAAAATGCGCCCTCCCCACCCAAAGTTACACCATCACTGTAAAACTGACAATGTTGAAGCGAAATCTCAGTTTTACAAAAAATACAGCTATGCAAGGTAAAAAATAAACTTACTTCACCAAAAATCTTGGCACCATTTTATGGTATTTGGTTATTCCAAGTACACAGTTTTGTGTGCCTATTGCACTATTTCTCAATTGGTGTAAAGCAACTTTGCTTAAGAAGCCATTGGCCAACAGTTGAAATAAAGATCCACATTTTCAAAAGCTAGTGCAAATGCAAAATTATTCTTAATATCAATAAAACATTTAATCATAAGTAAACTTCACTTTCTGCAGCAGACATTTCCCTCTACCATTTTAAGGATTTCCCCTAAAATAAACCTTACAGCCATTACAGGTAACCACAAGCCTTTTAATTTCTACTTTAAATTAAAAAGAATAAAATTAAAAACCATTAAAACCTTAATTCAATATTTGGAATTGGAATTCCACGAAAAAAGGGAATCTATGGATTATATCACTGTTACTCTGTACAGTTAATTACTGTGGTACTTAAAAATGTTAAATCGTTGCGGATGACAATGTAAGACGGACACCAATGACAATGCATGACAGATAGCCCATTTATAGCAGTGCTACAAGAAACCAAGTAACTTGAATACATAGGGTCCAACAGTTACATGTTAACATACATTGTCAGCAGTATGATATTAAAGCTGAAATGACTACAATTGCAACCCATTCAGCTATAAAAAAAAAATAAAAACAATAAGCTCAATAAAAATCACAAAGTTTTGCAAAAAGTTTAGCCTAGATACAATTACTCCTTAATAGTATGGCATGGGCTTTCAGGAACACTCATTAGAGCCATACTCTTTGGCTTACATCTTAAAAAGGTATAAAAAATTATGAGCCTTTTGCACCAAATCTATTCAGGCCATTTTCTATTTAGAGTTAAAAAGATTGGTCAGCTTTGCTTGAATAATATGATTTAAATACGTAAGCTTTTCATCATTTAAAAATCATTTTGGAAAAAAAAGCTATTTTTAAACAAAGAGCTACTTTTTTTTATCCCCCCATCTATATAAACAATAGCATCAAAAGTACATCTTTTAACGAGATTTCAAATCAATTGTTCACAAGGCTTTGGGAGGGCTGTAACTCTGTGCATCTATAACCTTCAAAAACTGATGCTGAACTCTAATATTGGCCCCAAGTGGCCTTGCTTCTTTATGCTATCTAAAATGTCGGGTTTTGTGCTCTGGTGGCAGCGTATGGGATCATGCATGCCTCTGTTGGCAGCAGGTGGTATGGCACTTCCTAAGATGTCTCAGCAAATTAGTGTTTTTCTTTTTGGTTTAATATTTTCTTGCCACTGAACAATTTTCCCTTTTAGCACTCACACACATCTTGTGGAGATGAAAGCTTTTTTCGTTCTAGTCATCGCTCTGTACCACATTTCAAATTGGAGCAACAAGCTGAGCCACCCTACCATGGGTTTGTTTACTCCTCACAAAGTTTCCACAATCAATACAAGCAACAATTTCAATCATCTTCTCAGTAAGCAGTCTTCCAAATTTGACAATCATAACAGCAGTTCAAACCTCAGTACAGGTCAGTTTGAAAGCTAGACCTCTGGAAACATGACTCGCACATTAAAAACCTGTAACACTTGATCCGTGATGAGGGATCAAGTTATTGACAAAGTCTAAAGATCCATAGGCTACAAGAGTTTCCTTTTTGGGGTCATGACACTGATGAGATTGGATTATGAGGAGATCCCATTTGTGTTAACACCTTGTCTAGCCACTGTAGCGGTCCATTGAGATGAATTTCAATCCAACATGGAGTGCTTGTGACATCTTGTCTGTGGTATTCTGCACCCCATCCCTTGACAAAACTCATGCGGATAGTGCACATTTTAGTCAGTTCATACACTGCCTCAAAACCATGGTTTACAGACTGACTTAACAGAGCAGCAAATTCTTGATTGTTGAAGATCTTTAAACTGCACCCTGGTGGAATCTTACAAACAGTGGTGGGATGGAAATTATGATGGTAATTGCAGTTACGGCTCTGGACAAATATACTGCTGTCACTGAGACATTCAGCAAACACCTCTCCACCCACGTAGTATAAGTGTACACCTGAAATTTATTAGAGTATTAGATTAAAATGGAGACCTATTTCTCGAAGTAAATAATAGTAAACATGAATTGGGTTTTTATTAAGTGAAATGCACAGAAAGTGTTAATCTAAAGAAAAAACCTTCTATGGTTTTTTTTTTATTTACTGAAGCATTTGCAAGATATTGAAACTAATAATGATTCCCCTAATAAATAAGGTGTTTGCATGATTCAAAAGCCAATATTTTTTTTGTTCTCACTGATGTATTTAGAGCCCACAGCAATAAAATAAGCAACCTCTTTATTCACAATATTCTAGCCAACTAGCCTATTAATCATCTTTATTTATAGGGAAAAAAATCCCCATTTCAGCACACCTACCTTTGCCAATATGTCTTCTGGTATTCTCAATGGTAGAATTCCTGTTCACATTTGACAACAATCCAAGACAGAACCTTTCTCCATTATTGGAGGGGTCTGTGAACCCGTCCACAACAACATGGGACAGGGAGGCATGGAAGGCTTCTCCCACACGGTTGTTTAACTCATAGTACACTATACTGCACCAAAACTTGGGTTCTTGGTAGGCAACTGGCTGTAAAGCTGAAATTTGAATACAAGGGTAAAATCAAAATAATTGAAATGGGGCTCTTCATATGCAAACAAGGAGAGCCTTCAAGTTTCCATATTTACTAGCCACAAAATAGGTGCTGCTCTTACTTTTGTGGTCCTTACAGCAAAAACATGAGAAAAAAATTCCAATGTAGTTTGAAAACAATTCAACAACAGTAGAAAAGAGATGGTCAGTGCAGACATACGTAACTGTTATCTCCATTTTCAATGAGCTGTTTCAACAGATTAATTTGATCTATTATTATTATCCAATTAACAGTACACTAAGCTTATAAATGATCCCTACGCCCCCTTTAAATGATTACTGGTTTAATACAATAATAGTAGGCGTCATTACAGCCATCAAATGGGTATCATGTGATTTCAAAACCTTCTGATATCTATATCATATTTAGGAAACTTTGGAAGTGATAAGTTATTATTGCAGGCGGTTGTGGCTTACTCACTTCTAGCAGGTGGTGCAGATGTGTCCATTGGTGTGGAGCCTGCCCCGCCTAAATTGTTGTTCTGAGTTCCTGAAGGACTGGGTTGGGATGCTGGGGATGACTGGTTGTCATCATGGGCCTGGTAGGCAGGGGGAGGAGTGTCAGCTAAAAATTATTAAAAATTGTTGCAACTATTAGAATATAAACAAAATAAGACTTCACATTTTGAATTGCCAGGCCCGTATGACTTAGAACAACAGAACTAAAATGACTCTCATTTTTTGAAAAATCTGATCTTCTAGTCAATTCATTTTCTTACCCGACATGTGTGTAGTTCAGAAATGTGAAATATTAATTCACTATCTTGCACTGTACCTAGCTTAACAATACATAATGCACTCTCCCAAGTTTACAACAGAAAGCAAGTAAAAAATACACATAATTGGTCAGATCAAGATTCAATGACATATACTCACCAGGTAGACCATATGGGCTCCCAGGTCCGGAACTGGCTGGCGAGGAGGGTCCAAATCCATGTGGAAAGCTTACATTGTATGGCATAGTGGGTTCTGGGACCTGCTGGAATGGTGCTAGCTGTCCTGTGTGGTCTGGGGGATACTCACTGTACCGTGGCACCAACACTGGGGGCAGCACTGAAACAAGACAGGACAGGTTAAAAGTTGGATATGTATATGTCGCTTCCCTTTGTGGTCTGGAGGGTGCTCAACCATCACCAAACATCAGCAAAGACAGAACCCAGGACTGGTCACTGGTAAAATCTGTGTATCTGGCAATTATACAGGAGGCAACACTGAAATAGAACAAGACTAGTTGAAGGAAATAGGTTAAGCAGCACACAGTACAAATATACAAATAGCACTCTTACATAGATACATACATATTATATATATCTTATGCATTCACTTAGACCCCATTCCCAGAGATTAGATCGATCCAACTAGATTAACCTAACTCCCTGGGGGTTCACGCTAAATAGCTGTCAGCCGAGCGGGCACGAAAGTACCCCCTTACAGCTTGTAGTAGGCGGGACGAACATTTAAGTCGGATTATCTGACAGAAATCTAGTGAGACTCCCCACGGGGATAGATTGATGGGAATGCGCCCTTAGTGATCTATGTAAAAGATATGGCTTGGGAAGTTTCTCTTTAACTTGGTCATAGATTGATGAAAGACAAGGTATCTCCAAGCTATTTTCCTTTTCAAATAACTTTTAAAGACAACTTGTTGACCTACAGGACAGAATATCCATCAACCATTTACCATATTTTGTTTTCCAGGACTTCTCTGTAAAACAAAACAATCAGCTGGCTTTTTTTTTTCTAATGAAAAATGTGCTTCTTTTCAACAATCAAAGTCAACTTCATATTTTATTGGGTAATTGTGAAGTAAGTTTTTGAAAATTTCCTCGTCTAATCACTTTCTGATGGGCTTAACTCAGAAAAGGGGACAAAATAATAAGACCAGAAAAAATAAGCCTGAAGTGCAATTAAACTGTGCTAACATCAATTTAACATCAAAACACATATTTCCCCAGATGTTGCCATGAGAAAGAACAGGCCCTGACAAAATCAATATTTCACAGAAATAATTATTGCTGGAGTTTTTCATGGAATCACAAGGGACCAACATAACTATAAGTGCAGTTTTTCCCTGCAGTAAATTACTGCCATTCCTAGATCCAGTCCTCATCCAGTGTCCAGTTCGCACAAAGCGGTGATCTGAACTGCTTCAGAGTCAATTAGGATGAATTATGTATTGAATATGGAGAGTGCATGTTGGTTGAATTCCAAAATTCCATGTAAATGGAAGCTGACTGAAGCCAGGAAAGAAAGTTCATAGAAAAATGAAAGTGGCAGGATCATGCTGTGAACACAACTTGATTTATAATGTAATCAACTCTACAAGCTGAAAACCAATTCAAGACTTATGCAGAAACGGTTCACAACTGGTCCAGTGTGACCAGCTCCTCAGTATCAACACAGCACAGGACAAGTTTTCTCAATCAATGCCTCAGAGATGTAATTAATGATCAAACATTACCAGGAGTCCCCAGAGACTACAATGATATCCCAGTACTTATTCTTCTCCCAGAGCACACAAGTGAGTCACAGAGAGAGAATGAATCATACTCCTGCCTACACACAGATGATGAATTCAGCTCTTTTTCTAATACATACCAAGTGCCAAACAGTGGAAAGATTCATCTTCCAGTTGATAGATATTGACAGATCTTGGACACATTTCAGTTAATTTCTACTGGAGCTGTAGAATCCTCAATTACTGTATGTCATGATAAAGGATAGCATATTGTAAGCTGTTTCATTTTTCCACTTGGCAATCAGTTTATTATTCAAATACTAAAAATATCATGCTTTCAGAAGAGCACATTTTCCTCTCAGTTTCATTCTTTCAGAGAAAATGTTTTCACCTTCAAATATTACTGATCTCCCCCTACATACTGTCAATCCCACAGTATTCAGTTTTTTGTTTGACATTTACTTCACAAGCATTACATAGACAATGGACTTATTTGTTGCTGCAAGATTTACTGTACTGTTGTATTTCAAATGACATGCTACAAAGCATATCCTCATGTTCACAACAATCTATAGACAAAATAAGTATAAATGACTTCACTTCCAATTGGAAAAAAAATCATAGTATTATCACTTTGCCTTTCTCTTTGTTTTCCAGGAACTTAACATATCATGGTACAACTTGCTTTTTTTTTTTGTCAGCCTATTCAGTTTTTTAGTCTTTATTGATTTAACTGTTCTTTAAGGACCTATTAAAAAAGGCTGCACAACTTAATCCATGCGTATAGAAGGTTGCTTTCACATCTGAACAGCATCTTTCATTCTATAGTGCAGCTGCGTTCACCAGATGTAGCCAAACTTTCCTTACATGTGTTCTGTTTTCACAATCTGCCAAATAAATCAGGTTGGTGTTTCTACAAAACACCACCATCAATCTTTTTCCAGGCTTCGGCATCAGTAGTGCTTCCTACATGTAGTATGCATAGCCTTAGTACCATGGTTTGTGAACATATTGATTCAAAAATCCTTTAAAGCAAGTGCAAAACACCAATATACTTTAAAACACAATTTCAAAAGTGCCAGTCAAACTGTCTAGAAAAAGAACCAGCATTATCACTTTCCATTTTCCATTCTGATTTGTCTGCAAAGGAAAAATACTTAATAAAAACTGTGTCTTAGTGAAGTCAGTCTGTGCTCAACAATCTACCAGTCAGCTCTATACTAAGCTTTGTTTTCCATCTGCTGGCCATAAAAAATGCAGGGCCCCAAAACATGTGTATCAGCATTGGTGAAAGGTCCTACTTGGCTTCCAAGTAGCTTGCCTGCACACCTGGGTTGCTGAGTAGAAATGATATTCTTGTTAATGGAACTACAATACATACAGCAACTTACTAGCTCCGTGAGAAGCTGTAGATTTCTGTCTGAAGACCTTTGCCTGACTGGGATAAAAACAGCCTCCTTGTCTGGATTAATAATATGTAATACTGGAAATTCCGAAGGCATTAATTTGAGAAATATTCTTGAAAGGCTGTGTGCAATAAAATCTTTATAAATGTAAGAGGCATTTTTTTAGAAAGCAATGGTACAAATGCCACATCAAAAGACAAAAGTTTTTAATTAATGGGATTCCAACTGCCATACCACCTTAGGGACACAAAACCCAGATATTTGTATTTCCTCCTCAATTTCCATAAAGCATCAACCTGTTAAAAATATAATGTTAGATGGATGAAATAAATCCCGCATACTGAAGTCGCCATTTTTTCTATCCTGGCTGTTTCTTCCAAAGACGTAGTTGTACTTCATCTGCAGCCATTCTGTGATATGCCAACATGCCAGCATCAGATGATCACAGCTGTGCAAAAGATGTGAGACACTTACTTCATCAATACAGGAAGCTGGGCTAAATTTATATCCATCCTCTAATTTGGCATAACATTCTGGTATTCATTAGGCAGGCAAATTGCTTTCTGATAGTTTTTTCCAGTGAAAAGGTAGGCATCAGGGTTTACTTAGACAAACATATAAACATTCATTTGTGATATGCGTGAAGGAAAGCAGACATCAAGCAAGTCCTGTTGAAAATGTCTGTTAGACATAAATATTGTAACAAAAATTATTCGTAAAATCAGAGCAATTTTGTTACACGATTTTTCTAATGGATTAATGCAAATGATAAGCAGCAAATCCATCCTGATTATTTTTAAACTGTGTTATGTACACATTTTAATGACAAACAATGTATTTGACAAAATAAAACCCACCTGGACTTTCCACTCTTTTATAATGATATGGATTGATACAGACTTCCTTCTGTTTGGCGCTGAATGGATACTCGCAGATCTCCAAAGGTTTCAGTTCATGGTGACTCTGTAGATCCGGCCACCTCCACACCCTGCAGTAGATAACATGGGGCAATCCTTTCCTATGGGACACCTGCAGTCTACCATCTAAAGACCTGGGAATGGTCACACACTTGCTAGGCTGTCCTGGGCAGCTTAAAGCTTTCTCAAGGTCCTCTAGTGCCCCCTTCTTCTTCTTCAGCTTCTTCACCAAGGAGTCTACTGCCTTCTCGGCCCATTTCTCCTCCTCATCTCCCTGCTTCCAGCCCAGCAGCCTTTTGACTGCTGGACTGGTGAAGGTGAACAGACTATTCAGGGTGGAAATTGTGGACATAGCAAGACAGGACTGGCTGCTGTTGCTGGCTGTCACACAGAAGAAACGCGCCTGCTTGGATTATAGCCTGGAAAAGGGACAAAAATAGTTGTTAAAATGTGATAAGAAGAGACAGGACTAGAGATCCACAGGCAATTAAAAAACAAGATTAAATTTATATGAACATAGGGAAGGTAAGGTCACGTTCTGCTGTGTGGTTTCAAACCACTATACCATGTTATCAATAAATTATATGGCACTACTCTGCTCACTGACTGCCTTTCTTTCTTATTTTATCAAGACCAAAAAACTTTACTAACGCGAACTTCGTATTTAGGTTTGAAATTGAAGTGCTTGAGGTAAAATGAATATCAAATATCAGCCTACCATCCCTGCTTGGACAAGACTAGATTATCACACACTTTTCCAGAGAGACAAATCCCCACAGGGAACTTCTCAACACAATGTGTTTGTAGCATTTTCACATAGAGATGGACAAAAGAATGGTCAAGTGTCCAACTTCAGGACATAAGTACATAAAAACTTGCTGACCTACATGCAACAGTGCCATCTCCACTTATTATTTTGAATTACTAGAATAGTAATGCATCTCTCATGTCAGTAGTTTAACAACCTGAGATTTAAGCTTTATCACAATATTTATGAAATGTAATGTTTCCATCTTCTCCCGACATGAGCACCATCAAGGCATATCTAATGTTGTTATCTGTAACTGTTGTTCTTGTCTAATCTATATCATTTTTAAATAGTTCCTGACCTCACAGGACTCCTGCTGGTGTAAAATTCAGTGTACAAATATGTTGTTGTATCTTATCTTAGTTCCCTCATATGCAGTTCATTTTACCATTAGTGCTGGTTGTTGGATAAAATTATGGTAGATGATCCCACAGAGCAATTAAAGCAGATTATTTACAACTATTATGATTATTCATTTCTGTCCACATTCCATGTATTATTCAATAACACACCAGGTATAAGGAGTACTTCAAGTACCAAGTACAACTGACAAAAGCCAACAACTGACTCATTGCATAAACACTTCAAATAGGCTACAGTTTCTGCTACTTCGAGCAATGACAGCACAAAAGATTTAACAATGTTTCCTGAGATCTTATAATCCTGAGGTGTATTGCAGGGGAGGGGGGTGTTCAGTGTGATTTTAATTTATAGCCATCACTATTAACTTTGTTAAATACTTCTACAATTAGAAACATTATTTAATCTTCACATTATTCAAATAAACTTTATTAAGTTATTCAAAGACTGATAAGCTTCTTTTCCACTTTAGATCTATAAACACCATCACATTTTCTTACATGTAATTATGTCCAATACTGCACCAATTTTACTTCATTAACCCAAACAATACACATAAGATTTTCTCTCTGGGACCCAGACAAAATTTTCACTACTTAAGTCCATATTCATTTAAGAACACAACTGCCAAATGTTGGAGGACATGCAGGCTGTCCACTTCAATTTAGCCTAAGAGTATTTAGGATGTCATCATAATGACACTTACTGCTGTTTTCTTCAGGAGTAGGTCAAATGCGCTCAGCACTTTATGTATGATTCTTTACAATTCCCTTTTTAAACAAACTGATCTTTCAAGGTTTAAAAAACCATAAAAGACAAATTTGACTTAACCAGGAAGAAAACTCACCATGTTACTTAACTGTCAGACAAAACCTGATATTTCAAAATTTTTCTCTTATATTTCTTTTTTAGGAAGAATAATTTTTCAAACACTGTCACAAAATCCCTTTAATTTATCCATCTATTAGAACAGATATCATTTTAGCTAACACAGAGAAAGTGCAAGAGCTTTTCAGTTTACAACCCCTCAACTGTTGTAACAGTCTACCCTGAACCACCTTGTGACTTACCCCTACTTTGTAATCAGGTAACATAACTATTCCACCTGACACTAATTACTAGCCCATCTACTTCCCATGGGCACAGGAACTTATTCTTGGACAGCCTACATACCAGGTCAATACTCCAATTAGCTATTGGGGTCTCTCATTACATTGGTGATCACTACTATTACCCAATGTGTGGGTGGGAAATACAATTAGCCAGCACGCACCAAAATGACACACAGAAGAACCCATCTTCATCCTGATTTTACACAACTAAAAATAAAATGTTTCCCAATGATTAAGAACGATTTGCTTTTCTGCCTGTAAATATGAGACACAGCATGCTAATATTTCATCAAATTATTTCTGTGATTTTTAATTTCCATTAAGAAGATTGAACCTACTGGCTTAACATATTGAGCATCAATGTAAGTTCATCTGATGGTGTGGAATCCAAACATAAATATTTAAGAGAAATAAAACCACTATCTTAATTGCTTTTTTCAAATCTTTAATATAGTTACACAGAACTCTTATGAAGAAATGCTATCATTCTCAGTTTTCATGGAATCATAAAGGGTGGCAATTTTAGGTAGAATTTTAGAGAAATTCCTCTGTGCTGAAAAACAACCATCCATACTAATTAATCATCTCAAAATGTTTCTCAGCAGATCTTTATTCATTTAGCCTGGAGGTAGTGAAATACGCAGTAGCGATGTACATCCAGGTGCCTGTATGCTCTAACCTTAAACTTCCTGCAATAACTTACCCAGTGACACCAGAGGTTCAGTCACACAATACATTACACTGTTTTCATGAAAAATTACATTGCACAATACATAACAATGTTTAATGGACCTTTACAATGCAAAATTATCTGAATGACTATTTCAGGCTTTTTAAAGAAAAGGAAAGGAGGCGGATTCAGATATGAGTCAGTAATACTGAACGAACCTGTCTCAACATTAAGAGCAAATTTTTTTTCTATTGTTCCACCATCAGTAGTAGACAAAGTCAGCAATGCAATGTTTTTATCATTAAGTATCAGATAATATCTTAACTTCAAATAATAATCAAGTTTTGTTTCAGTCCCTTTGTCAGAACTTTAATTTTACTTACTTGTTAGTATACAAGTGTTACCTTTACCTTCAGATGTCTGCTTCACAAAGATTTCAAGTTAAAAGTAAGTGACAGTGCTAGTTCATTAAAAGCAGTTTGACTGCTATTAATTTAGTAGGATATTATTTGTTGAAGGGGTGATTACATATTCCAGTGCACTACACAACCTTTCCAGTTTAAACACAGAGGGCACTGTTGTTCAATTTGTTTGGATAATGAGAAATACTAACTTCAGTGTCACCTTTGACACACCAACTGCTTCAGGTATGGCAAGGCAGAACTGTGCATATCGTTTGTGCCACAATATGACCAAGAATTTAACAAGGTAAGCTAATTAGCTGTTTTTATCACTGCTAGAGTACATCAGTGGATTCAAACTGTCAGCGCCAACACTATCAGCTGTTTGAATCAGTAAATGTTTGCTCTGACAACTGTCACCTCCTTTTTTCTTTATGGGACATCTTTCCCAGTTTTATCTACAGGTAAAATTGATAATGAAATGGGTGAGAAGTGATCCACACTAACTGTCAGTGTGCACATCATTGCCCATCTAAACATAAGATTTCTGAAACCTTATTCTAAATTGTAATATATAAACAGTGCATTATTATAGAATATTACTTGCCATCATACAATCCTGAATTATACAAAATTCCAATGTGGAAACAATATGACAACAGTCAAAGAGATATATGATCAATGCACAAGTAACATTGCAGATAAAATATTGACTAAATTTTAGAGGTGATTCCGTTATGCTAATGTCAGCTCAACAAAGAATGCATGGAAACTCCTGAAGCATATACCAGTATTTACATGGAACACTTTACATCAGCATGAACAATTTGTCTCCCAAGAAATTCAGCCTACAAATAAATGAATCATAGCTGACTGATTTGCTTGTTTGAACTTACAAGTGATGCATATTTTATGAACATGCTGGCAGAAATCAGTAGCTCAATTACTGCATTTCTCATCATGGCACATGCACTCTTGATAGTCGCCGTGGTTATTTTACATGATCAATAAAAAGTGTGACCTGTGATCACAATGTAGCACCCCTGCTCCCCTCCCCAAACAAGCAAAACAAAGTTGCAACATGGCCGTCCCATCATAAAAGTCTAATTTAATCCCAAGAAAAGCTACTGAATATTACCTGGTTCTCTGTTCTTACGTTGAAAGGTCAGCTTAGCAACAACACTGTGTAAGAGCAGACGGGTGTCCTAACCTTGAAAATAGATATTAAATGCTAATTTCGTTTTACGTTGCCGCGTTCAACTGCATGGCCCACAGAGTCTATGCTGAAAGCTGGCGACAGTAAGACTGGAGGCGAAGAACAAAAATATATCGCAGAGATTCATACGCATTACTGTGTTCCTATACAAAAATGTTCCACATAAAACTACCATCTTTTAGTATTTCAAGTTGATTACTTAAACTTAAAATCATAAAATCGTATATAATTCCCCCACTGATTGTTTGGATATTGTATTTTACCAACAATCCCGATCTAAGTTGAAGAGCGCAGTCGAAAGAAGGTGAGTGGGCTAACAAGTGCGCGAACTTTGGATGACGTCACTATTTTTGGCGACAGATAGTCCAAGGTATCAAGCGCCAACAATAGAGCAAAGCATTCTGTGAGGGAAAGCCGTGAACAATGTGCAACAGCCATGGAATCATGCACTCATTATTCTTTATCGACTGTTGAAGTGTTTCCACTGTAAAATGACTCAGAATTTTTCAATTTAGGCCACGAGAGAATTCGTGATTATGTGAGAGGAAACTGTTTTTAAATATGTCAGCGCCCACGAAACGTACGCGTGATAAAGTATTCGATATGTTACAAAATGAAGTAATCCCTATCACAGTTCGCTTATGAGCAAACTTATTGTTTTATTCAGGGAATTGTGAGGTAAAGCCTCATTACGAGAACTTTGAAGTAATCAGTTCCTGTACTGAGTATTTAAGAGCAAGTGGCAACAGGCCGAGAAATCGTGCATGTATCAATCTTACAAACGGAAGAAATACATAATATCAACTACCCTTCACACAGACACGCCCAAATCTGAGCCTGAGGAACGGGTGGGGAGTGAGTTATGCTGGAATTTGTTTAGCTGCACACCGTTTAGGCGCTCAAATCCCTTCCATTTCTATTGAAACTACACACATATATATGTAATAATATGTAATATACGTAAGAATATGACAGGGCAATGATTGGGGGACAAAATATTGTCGTAAAACGTCAAAGCTCGGGCTACAGTTTTCAGTCAATTCCAGTAAAATCAAAAGGGGAACGTCACTCTCGCCATGGGGCCTGTATATGAATAAATATAAATAATGGAATCAGTTCAAGTTCTTTCTGTGCGTTTTGATCACTTCAGAAGCTAACAAGAGAAGCAGGTCTAGCTAGGGTTATGAGCCAAATGTTGACATTACTGGTGCAAGTGTCGATATCTGCCCTTGGCTATGCATCTTACAGCAAAGACATTAATGGTCTTTAGCAAACTGTAAACATGGCTGATAGTGTATATCTCCAAGTCAGGGAAGATTTACGTTGTCCTGTGGAAACAGAGGTGTGTATAAATTTCCAATCAGGACGATGTAGTGATAACTGATTCAGAAATAATCTCTGGGGATGATTTCGTTTGTTACTGTAGTTTCCGAGTGCATTATAAAGCTGTTTGAGAACAGTTTTAGTATTGAGCAGTTCACTAGATGTCCTTCAAATTTTTTGGTGAGAATAAATTTTAAAATGGTCTCTGCATATGTGTGGAGGTACAGATTGTTTTAAGATCTGCATAACTTTTAGCACAGTATCTTTTTAATATTTTAAAGCATAAGAATTGTAAAACAGAAATGCAGAATATTGAGACATTAGTCTACAGGAAACATAGATGATAAATCTGATTAAAGTATATTAAAAAAATGTCATCTGTCTTCTAGATAGTTCTGTTTGTCACACGATTCAACCAAATTGTTGCCAGTGGATCTGAGTGTACGGAAGGACCACATGACTGCCTACTGACAAACCTAATCCAGATATACTTAGTTAAGTTCAAGGATTCCCCCTACTTGGGAAGTCTTCCAAGGCATGTCCTGTCGGGCATAGGTGTGAAGATTCTTGAAGAAAAAGAGGTTTGTATAGACATAAGTTATTGTCCTGTTGGTTTTTCAAGCTGTTTTCAGTAAAATGCAGATACCAGAAAGATTTTGAAAATCTGTTAATGGGGGAGGGGGTTCGAATGAACCTATCAGGGTCTTTTTTTTTTTTTTTTTCCAGTGAAAGAAACCGTCCCCTTTCAATTTATCCCGAGTATAAGAAACAGTAAATAATTTATTAAAAATATAATTTAAATGGATTCCAGATTCCACTGTCTGTCCAATGGTGTTTACTTCCCTCGGCAATATCACATGGTAATCAACTGGTGCACTCAGGACTGTGTGGTGTTCTGAGACAAATTGTGAAGCTGATCCACCAGAAAACAAAATGCCAGAAAGCACTGGAATTGCTGGTAAAATTAAGGCACAAGAGTTAAGATTTTTAAAGATAAACATAATAATTGTGCATATTTTGCAGACATTTTGATCTCATAGTGGAACTAATATTAATTCATGTACATTTACTAGCAGCCAGGAGATAAATAATTTTATACAATCATGTTTGTCTATTTGTTAATTTAAATCAGTGAAATATGTTTTCTGTTTTTTCAGGGTTTTAAGCAAGGTTGTCTCAAAGCTTGCTCAGAGGTTGGTTTGTAATACATGACATGAATAAACAAGAAGTGTGTGGCTTATAATTTAGAAACATTTTAGCCTTATTTTAAGTAAGTCATTTATAATTGACAGAGCTTGGTTATTTAAAAATGGGGAATACTTGTCATGTTACAATGAAAACTTTCTGGTAGTGGATCCCAAAGTGATATACATCACTATTAAACAATATGATTTATTCTCCTTGAAGGTCTCTCAGTGGACAAAATTTTGTGAAGTTGAAGTTCCCAAGAGTGTTACAAAGGCAGTTAGTGATAATGGGTGAGATTGGTCTTTATGATTCTTGTTTGGCTTGGTTACACAAGATATTTATCAAAAACACAGGTATCAGAGACAGCTGTGCATTAAAATAATGTGCAAGTGTGTTTATACAAGATTGTGTACTATTTATCTCTCTGTTATTTTTACATTTTTTGAGAGTGCTCCAATACATTTGTAACAAGTTCTAAAATCTCAGGAGTTTATTCCTTTTAGGAGATGTGAGAATATTTATGTTTTTAGCCAACAAGCTCACATCAACATCTTGATGTTTTTTTTTTTAATGTACTTGATTATTATTCTTACTCTTAGTGCCATATTGCCTGGGGCTTTCCAAAAGCTTGAAGAACATCTTGGAAAACCCCCTCCAGTTGCAAACAGAGAGAAGAAAATAAGAGAACTTAGAAGAAAAAGATTGACCAAAACAGCTTCTAATCTTACCAAAGGAAACTTCGAGATTGAAGTGATAAAGACATCTTCCAAAGATAATTCTATTTCAGTGCAAAAGTGTGCACATGACTTAAGTCATTGTTCTTTACTATCAAACAGTCGAGATCCAGGCGGAGATAAATACAGTGTGGGTGGGGCAGTTAGTCAGCATGCAGAGAATAGTACAACTGATGACTGTGGCACAGAAGAAATCAATGACACAGCTGAGATATTGGAGCGTTCATTCACAGAAGGACCTGATATGACACTGACTGACCTGGTTCTTTTCACAAGCATCAGCTGGTACCTTGTAAGTCAGATGGGACTTTGTAAGGGCTGTCAATTATCATCCATGAATCAAGCAGTCAGGACTAACTGTATCTTTTCTGATGTTTTAAATTATTTCCATGTTATTGTACCACCAGCGTTAGCGCTGGCGGTACACATGGTTTCGGTCTCGTCCGGATCGTTCCGCCGGCTCCGCCGGCTCCGCCGGACGGCTACCGTTACCGCTTCTCCTCCTAGACGGTAAGGCCCCCCATACCCATCTCATGGATTTAGGTCACCTATAATCTCAACTCGTTCCACGTAAAATTTGGGCTTTGTCGGTATTGGGGTCTGGGTGTGGCACTCATTGCAATGCACCCTTGTCCAAAAATGGCAAAATTAAATGCTAATTATCTACCCTACGGAAGGAGTTA